TATTATTGGTGACAGAGGGCATCCGTGTATTGTTGCTAATCTTAGAGGAAAAGCTTTTAGTCTTTCACCATTGAGTATGATATCAGTTGTGGGTCTATCACATATGACCTTTATTATATTGAGGTAAATTCCTTATGTGCCTTGTTTGTTGCATGTATATTCATCAGGAATATTGGTTTATAGTTTTCATGCTGTTGTGTCTCTGTCTGGTTGTGTTATCATGGCCTCATAGAATGAGTCTGTGTTCCTGCTTCTTCAACTCTTTGAAAGTTTGAGGAGGATTGTTATTAATTCTTTAAATGTGTGGTGGAATTCCCCAGTGAAGCCATCTGTTCCTGAGCTTTTCTTTTTTGGGAAGTTTTTGGTTATCGATTTAAAATAATCCATTCAGTTTCTTTATTTTTCATGATTCTGTCTTTGTAAGTGGTATGTCTCTAGGAATTTACCCGTTTCTTTTAGGTTTTCCAATTTGTTGGCATATCTGTTCAGAGCAGTCTCATAATCCTTTTTATTTCTATGACATCTGTTGTAATGTCCCCTTTTTAATTTCTAATTTTAGTTATTTGAATCATTTCTCTTTTTTCTTAGTTGGCCTAGCTAGGGTTTGTCAATTTTGCTGATCTATTTTTTTTTTTTAAACAAACTCTTGGTTTCTTTGATTTTTTCCTGTTGTATTTCTATTCTCTACTTAAGTTACTCTGCTATGATCTTTATTATTTCCTTCCTTCTCTTATCTTTGGACTAGTTTATTCTTCTTTTCTAGTTTAAATGTAAGGTTAAGTTGTTGATTTGAGATCTTTCTTCTTTTTTAATATAAACATCTACCACTATAAAACTCCCTCTTAGTACTACTTTCACTGTATTTCATAAGTTTGGTATGTTTTCATTTTGTTTCCAGATATTTTCTAAATTCACTTGTGATTTCTTCTTTGACCCAGTTGTTAAGAGTGCACTGCTTAATTTCCACATATTTGTGGACTTACTTGTTTTTCTTCTGCTATTGATTTCTAGTTTTATTCCATTGTGGTTGGAGAAGATACTTTGTATAATTACAATGTTCTTAATTTTTTTTTTAGGAGGGTCTCATTTGCCCAGGCTGGAGTGCAGTGGCGTGATCATAGCTCACCATAGCCTCAAATTCCTGGGCAAAAATGATCCTGCTGCCTTAGCCTCCCAAGTAGCTGGGGTTACAGACGTGCACCACTGTGCCCAGCTAATTTTTAAATTTTTTGTAAAGACAGCATCTTGCTATGTTGCCAAGGCTGGTCTCAAACTCCTGGCCTCGAACTATCCTCCCACCTTGGCCTCCAAAAGTACGGGGATTAGAGGCATGGGCTGCCGCACCCAGCCCAATCTTCTTAAATTTGTTAAGGCTTGTTTTATGGCCTAACATGTGATTTATCTTGGGGAATGTTCCATGTGCTCTTAAGAATGTGTATTCTGCTATTGTTGGGTGGAATGTTTGTTAGGACAAATTGATCTATACTGTTGTTCATTCAGGTCCTCTGTGTCCTTCTTGATCATCTTTCTGGTTGTTTGATTCATAACTGAAAGAGTATTGATAATAATAGCCTCATAACAATTATTGTGTTGCTGCCAACTTCTATTGATATACAAATGGCCAGTAAGTGCACAAAAGATGCTCCCTTTAGTTCTGTCAATGTTTACTTCATATATCTGGGAGTTCTCATGTTAGATGTATATATATTTATAATTGTTAATGTTCCCAATGAACTCTTTTCATCATTACATAATGCACATCTTTGCCTTTTCTGACAGTTTATGTCTTAAAGTCCATTTTGTTTGATATTAAGTATGGCCTTCCCTGCTCTCTTTAGGTTCCCATTTACATGAAATGTTTTTCCATCCCTTCACTTTTAGCTGATATGTGTCTCTAGAGCTAAAGTGAGTCTCTTGTAGACAGCATATAGTTGGGTCTTATTTTTTTATCCATTTAGCCAATCTATGTTTTCTAATTGGTTTGTTTAATACATTAAAGTAATTACAGATAGGAAAGGACTCAATATTGCCATTTTGTTCATTGTTTTCTGTATGTCTTGTAGCTTTCTGTATGTCTTGTAGCATTTTTGTCCCTCCTCTCTTCCCTTGCTGTCTTTTGTGTTTTGTTAATTTTTTCAAAGTGATATATTTTTATTCCCTTCTCATTTCCCTTTGTGTATATTTTGTAGATACTTTCTTTGTGATTACCATTGCAATAATGTAAAACATCTTAAAGTTGTAAAATTCTATTTTAAACTGTTAATTTCATCCATGTATAAAAACTCTACACTTTATATCTCTGTCTCATCTGTACTTTATATTATTGATAACACAAATCACCTTTTTATGAGTATCTGTTAACATACATATATAATTACTTTTTATGCTTTTGTTTTTAAAATTCTATGTAAGACTTAAAAGCAATTTTCACATCTACAATACTATAGGATTGTATGTATGTCTACACATTTACCTATATCAGGGACTTTTATATTTTTATACAGTTTTATGTTGCTCTTCAACTTGAAGGAAGCACCTTCAGCATTTCTTGTAGGCAGGCCCAGCTGTGACGAATGCTCTTAGCTTTTATCTGGGAAAGTGTTAATTTCTCCTTTGTTTTTGAAGCACAGTTTTGATAAATATAGTATTCTTGCTTGGCATTTTTGGGAATACTTTGAATGTGTCATTCATTCCCTTCTAGTCTGCAAAGTTTCTGCTGAGAAATCTGCTGATAATCTAATAAGAGGTCTTGTTGCATTTCTCTTGCTGCTTCCAGGATTCTCTCTTTGTGGCTTTTGAGTTTTTTGTTTTGTTTTGTTTTGTTTTGTTTGAGACAGAGTCTCACTGTGTTGCCTGGGCTAGAGTGCCGTGGCGTCATCCTAGCTCACAGCAACCTCAAACTCCTGGGCTCAAGCAATCCTACTGCCTCAGCCTCCTGAGTAGCTGGAACTACAGGCATGCACCACCATGCCCGGCTAATTTTTTCTATATATTTTTTTGTTGTCCGATTAATGTCTTTCTATTTTTAGTAGAGAACGGGGTCTCGCTCTTGCTCAGGCTGGTCTCGAACTCCTGAGCTCAAACAATCCGCCCGCCTCGGCCTCCCAAAGTGCTAGGATTACAGGCGTGAGCCACCGCGCCCGGCCGGCTTTTGAGTTTTATTACGATGTGTCTTTGTGTGAGTCTCTTTAGATTTACCTCACTGAAATTCTTTGATCTGTAAGTCCATTTCTCTAAGATTTGGAAATTTTTCAGCCATTATTTCTTCAAATAGTTCTCTACCTCTTTCTCTTTTCCTTCTGACATTCCCATAATGATGTTCTGTTTGATGATGTCCCATCAGTCCCTTAGGCACTCTTCATATTATTTCATTCTTTTTCCTCTTCTGCCTCAGCAATTTTGAAAGTCTTGTTTTTTAGTTTGCTGATTCTTTCTTCTGCCTGGTCAAGTTTGCTGTCCAATCCCTCTCATTAATTTTTCAATTCAGTTATGTATTATTCAGTTGGTTCTTCCTTGCAGTTTCTATCTCTCTGATGATATTCTCAGTCTGTTCATGCATCATTTTCCTGATTTTGTTTTGTTGTCTATGTTCTTTTAATTCATTAAGCATTCTTATGATGATATTTCTGAATTCTTTGGCAACTCATAGATCTTCATTCATTTCTAGGTTTTTGGAGTTTTTTTAAAGTGTGCCATGTTTCTGTTTCTTTATATGTCTTGTTATTTTTTTGTTGGTATTTCAGCATTGAAGAATCATCCACCTCTCCGAGATTTTGCAGTCCAGTTTTCTATATTAAAGACTTTCCCCTCTTGTTCAGGTCTCCTACCTTGAGCTGTGTGCAGATGGTGTCAGAGCCGAGCAGAGCTCATGAGGATGATCACAGACATGTTGCTTGTCATCTTTGCCAACATGCTGGGCATGTCGCTCTCTTTGTCTGTTGTTCTCTCTCACTACATGGCTGTCAACAACCTCAAGGAGGAGGAATGAAAGTGGCCCTTTCCCCACCCCAGGGTTTGAGGACATAATCAGAGGCAAGATTGAGGGCGTGAGAGGCTTTCACACTTCACTTCATCCCTTCTACCCATCACAACATACAAAGCAACTAACCTGGATTTTTCCAAACAACGTTTATTTCCTCAGTGTTCCTTAACCCTATGGAACAAGGATCTGACACAGAATAGGGCCCAGTATAGAAGCTACTTTCTTTTTTTACTTCATCCCCCCAATATAAAAATATAGAGTTTTTTTTTTTAAAAAATACTTTCTCTATTCAGCCTGGCTAGAGATTGTGGGGGCTTCTCAAGCCTTTTGTGGAAATATGCTGTCTCTAGGATTGGACGTATATTTACTTAAGTTTTGTTTTTCTGCTCAGACGCTCCCCCTACTGTCTGTATGCGATACCGCAGCCTCGCTGCTGCTACAGTAACCTACGGTACTGGAGCCCCGCCTAGTGTTTGTCTGTGATACTGCAGACTTTAGCGCACTTCGTCTTTGGTCTCCGAGACCGCAATGTGGCGCCCTGTTCCTGTCAGTTCTTGGATTCAGGCAAGACAGAAACTGGTCCTTCGGGCAGGCCCCTAAAAGTCACAGTTTTGGATATATGTTATACTTTTTCTTCTCCACAGGGACAAGACGGAAATTGAAGATCTCCCAATTGCACCGTGCTGTGCAGGGGTGGCGGGATGGGAAGCTCTGGCGAGAGACAGTACCCTGAGATTTCCTACCTGGTTTCGAAGCAGTTGATTTCAGACCTGCCTGTTGTACAGGAACATTTAACTGGTTTATGGACTTCTCACAGAGGGATTTTGTCTGTGTATCATTATTAAATTCGTTTCTCCACAGGAGAAGGTGGGTTCAGGCTTCCTGTTCCACCATCTTGCTGATGCCCTACAATACTTCTCTTCTAAAGACTATTTTCACTTTCTCCCCTCTTATTCCCTCCCCAATTCACTGGAATCGCCCTTTTGTCCTCACTGCCCCAAAGAAGCCATACTAGTGAACTCAAATCAAATGGTCAGTTCGGGCATTTAGTCAACGCCTCAGTAACATGTCAGACACTTCGCCACTTCATCTTTTGTGAAACTTGGCTTCTGGGACACCCCTCTCCCCCAATTTGTTTTCTTTCCTTCTTTTTTGCCTTTCTTACTTCACAGGTTGCCCCCCTCAGTCTTCTTTACTGAATCATTCTATTTTAAATATACAAGCACCCCATGGCTCAGCTGGCTGACCTTTTTATCCATTACCATTCTCACAGTGATCTCATCTGGTCCCACTGCTTTAGATGCTATTCATTACAACCATACTTCCCATATTTGTATCTCTCTAGCCCTGACCTTGACCCTAAATTCCCTATATATATTCCCAATATATCCTAATATCTCCACATGGTGGTCTAATAGTTTTCTCAAATTCAATATATTCAACATGAAATTTTTGATACCTACCCCCACAAAAGAAGTTCTCACCCCACCCCCTAGTTGTCTTCATCTCAGTAGAGGAGAACTCCATTTTTTTTTTTTTTTTTTCATTTTTTTAAGTCAAAACCTTTGGAGATATCCTTGATTTTTCTTACATTCACCTATCTGGAAATAGTAATTTTACCTTAATAATATACTCAAAATCTTACTGTCTCCATTGCTATTCTCCTAATCTAAGCCTGTATAATTTTTTACCTATATTAATGCAAAGTCATTCCAATTGGCCTGCCTGCTTGCAAAATTGCTCCTTTACAGTTTATTTTTCATTTTTTTCTTTCACCTCCCACTTCCCTGACAGTTTATTTTTCAAATAGTAACCAGTAATAAAATGTAGAGTATGTCACTTATTTGCTCATATGCTTTCAAATTTGTCATGTCATTAATAAAAGCTAAAATCTTTACCATTCCCTATAAAATGCTACAAAATCATGTCCCCAGATTCCATTTCCAACCATTTTCCTCTTCCCTTATTCTACCAGCATCTTCGTTGTCTCAGTTACATTTTGCATCCTTTGAACTATTGCTTCTGCAAGATGGTTTTCTCTCCCCGAGAGCCACATGGCTGACTCCCTATCTTCTGAGCTCTGTTCAAACCACACGTTATAGGGGTCTTCCTTGATGAAATTATATACTAATTTGCTTTATACCACTTCATAACTTTTAACACAAACTATTTGATCATTGTCTTTCCTCACTAAAAAATAAGCTCTAAGAGAGGAGGGATGTTATGTTATGTTCATTGTTATGTTCATTTCTAGCACCTAGATCTGTGGCCAGCACGTTTGTTCAATGAATCCTACCTACTATATATTATCCTGATTCAGATGCCATATTGACTTCACATAAACTCTTGTTCCAAGACATCCTGAATACTGCTGCACCCCTTCTTTGGGGGCTAATCCTGAAAAGTGCATTATGTGAAAGCTCAAAAAGTGAAATTCTCGAGCTACATCTTCTCCAACCAAGTTCTTCCTATAGTAACCAACAAGATCTCAATCATAGCAGATTAGGAGTCCTTCAAACAGGTCAAAATAGCCGGGTACAGTTGTGCGCACCTATAGTTCCAGCTAGTGGGCAAGGGGCGGGGGGCTGTGGTGTCACTTGAACCCAGGAGTTTAAGTACAACCTGGGCAACACGGCAAGACCTCATCTCTAAGAGAAAAATATTAATATATATCCACTGCTTCATGCAAAAATTAGCTTCTCATTTCTTCACTAATCTTGACACACAGGTGTTTTTTTGTTTTTTTTTTTTAATTTGGTCCTAGCACAATGCCAGGCATGTAACAGGCAACTCAGTAATTCCGAAAGAATGAATACACAGAACCCACCGGTACTTAAAGCCTTTCAAATATTTGAAGACTATTCACCACCAGCCAAAACCTAGCTCCCCCAACCCAGCTTGGTGGCCTGCCACCTAATGGAGTTGCTTCCAACATTGCTAGGCCCATTCTGCCCAGAAAGACCCTGTTTCTAGTGATCTCTATCTTAGCTGATTTCTTCAGGAAGTAGCCTCTAATCACTCCAAGATTTGACAGCTGTGAACACTCAAAATGGTATTTGAAAAAAGGAGACACCACACCACGAGAAGGGCAGAAACGGTTTGGCACAGGTAGATTACCACCAGGTGCAAAGGTGTCAGGAAGAGATATAGGCTCATCAGAATGGTCCTAAGAGGCATAAAATTCCAGGACAGTCTGCTTCATAAGGGAGGATGGTGTTAAGTCTATACTCAGATACATTACTTGTATTGACCAATGCATCCCAACCAAGACAATACAGCAT